CACAGAACAGTGTGTTTCCCTCTCTGAACAAATGGTGGGCAAGTAACAAAGTGACACGACTCATTGCCATCTGTTGTGCTCATTAAAGGCAATTTAAATGAATAGTCGCTGGCTTCTTCACGCTGAAGTTCTCGGGTGCAATGCGAGTGCATTTCTGGATCGCCGCCCCGCCGGACCCTTCTCTCCACTGGGCGTGCCCACCCACCTATCATCATGCTTTACTCGCTGCGCCCCTCCCATTGAACAAAACGCCATTAATCAAATTTGCCTTGATCCAGTTCCTTATGAGCCTTAATGCAAAACATAATTTGCTCTTGTTATTCCTCCATTTTAAAATTATAATTAAGAAAATAAAATGTTTTCATCGCGAGAATGAACAAAGTCATCCAGGGCTCAATAACTGGGTTCCTTTAGAGACTTTTGTACCCCCTACATCTTCCACAAGCACTTTTTTATGATGTGTTGCACCCTATACCCCTTAACACCAGCCAGTATTAAATTAATGAGAGGCCATTTCATTTTCCAGTGGAAATGTTTTTTATACAATAATGAAGGCCAGACGCTATACTACACTGGCATATCATAAGCTCCTCTGCAGTGCAGCGTAATCACACTTTTACTTTAAAGGATGATACAGAATTGACAAGGCACTACTATTCAGGATTTCTTAGGTTTTTTTTGTGTGCATAAGTATCTGCACACATTTTCAAGAAGATGGATGGTAAAATGAACTTATGTGCATGTCTGTGCATGTGGGTGTGTGCATTTTAGGATAATGTCACGGACTAATTCATTTGGCTGTGCTGGTATGTATTTTTAGGATAATGTCATCTACGGATGAGCTGTTTTCTGAAATCTTGCCATTAGACTTAGGCAAAATATTTAGCGTCCCCATTCTTCTTTTTTACCATCTTCCTCCTTCTCAGTGGTTTGATATTCGCCTCCACCTTCACTGCTTCTCCATGACCTTACAAAATTTTCTTACTGACACAAACGTTACACTATGGATAAATCATTCTGGTATGCTTCTGTTTCTTTTCCTGTGACTGAAAGTGTCTCCTCGCCCACAGAGAGCACACTGAAAGGACTATTTCCCCACCTGGTTTTGGGGAATTTTGGATCTAACATTGCGACCAGAAGGGTGTGGGATCAAAACACAAAAGGTGCCTTGGTTCTGGAGAACCTGGGCAGTGGAAATGGTTAAAAGTTCTACATTTCTATGCAGTGCACGCAGAGTTCGGTAGGGGAGGAAGCTGCCATATAGGTAATGTTTGGGGAGCTAGATGCCAGCTAGAAGGTGGTTGGTGTGAAAGTCTTCTCCTCTACGATCGTTACAAACCTAAAATACAGAAAATAGGCTGGAGGTGGGATGCCAAGATCAGCTGTCCTGTGATATCGATGGTTTCTATGGCTTTTTAAACTACAGGGATTATGCCTGGGACTACTTAATAGCGTAAGGACCATTTAAAAAAAAATGCTATTGAAACTTTGCTAAAAGTGTTAATTGTGTTACTGCTGCATAGCTCTTTTATTTATCTATTTATTTGGTAACTTTAATAATCCCAGAGGGAAATTCTAATTTCCAGCAGTTCAATACAGCAGTGTTACAGACATAAAAGGGTGAAAAACACACAGAAGAGACTCTAGAGCCTTTCTGACTGAAATAAAACGTTTATGTCTGTGTATTAGGGCTTTTCTGCTTCGATTACTTATTTTTCTTTTTTTATCTGTTCTTTTTCTGTTGTGTCTGATGGTAGACCTTGAAAAAAAGCCTGGATTTCTTTTTAATGAAAGTTAGATGATGTGAAGTGATTGCTTTTCAGAAGGGACAGCTATTGACCATGCAATAGCAATCGTATTTTGCCAGCTTGCAATTCTAAAATACAGCAAAGAGTGACATAGCTTTTGGATGCAATATGTCCAGTAGTAGGACTAGACTGTTGCTTATGTGATAACTGGCAGCATTCCTGCATATTCCCGTAATTGGAATTTTCACCAGCGAATCATTTAAAGCTTGATGACAGTGTTAAATGGCAATTTATTAGTGCATCACATGCTGTACAAAACGCTAGGCCTATTTATTGTAAATGTATTGCACTCATCAAGCCACACTTGTAGGGAACTTTTGTGAATGTCGCAATTAAGCAGCACAAAATTAAATCAACGTTCTGGCCTCATCTCGATGCTTTGTAGTGTTTCTGTTATCAGCTTAAGTCTTCCTGTCAGCGATGGACTTACATCAGACTTTCAGAGTTGCCAACTTTGGTCAGCTAGCTGGAGTGAGATTTTCAGTTTGAGTCCAGTCTCTACACACATGCCACGCATATACAGTACATGCATGTAACGGATTTATTACCTTGTAAATAGTCTGTAGTGTTTCCAAACTACCCCAACGATCTTGATGTAGCTAATTTTAGGTTTATAATGGAATAATATTGATTTTGCTGTAAGATTTCTTGCATGAGCGTGAAAGTCAGAAAGCGTGAGTTTTGGCAACCCAGAACTTTGTAGACCATGATAGGGTTCTACCAAGAGCTGCTCTGTGTTTCTACCATCATCTGGGTCTGAGTACCCTTAAGCCTCCGTGTCATGTGGCTTTCCAGACATCTGCACAGTAGACTGAAATTAAATGATGCCATTTACCATCAAGCCAAATTTTGTTTGCCTTTTAAATGTCAAACTTTTTGATCCATGATTATCGGCCTCCCGTATCAGGAGTTTGTCTGACAGTTGTGTTAAAAGAATGCTGTGGCACAAAGTGTTGCTGTGCTGACCTCACTTCTGCCCATGTGTGGTCTTAAACCCTCCCAGATGTCCTCCCCCCTGCGGTATTCACACGTAAAGCTTTACAGCTTTCACAGCTGGGGAACTTTCTAATACACATCTTTGTCAATAGCTTACTGTGCAAATTATTGACCTTTTTTTTTGGTCAGATGGCATAATATAGCATGAACTCTTCTCACCTTTGTTCACAACAAAGTGGAACTGTGGTTATGTTCTTAGGTTTTATCCCTCATAGCACACTGTTTGAGAATCAGGTGCATGATGGGAAGTGGGCCAGCGCACAGGGCAGGGACTGGGGGATTGGAAGTGTGGCGGCACGCCAGAATCAATTGCTGGTGTAATGAGATGGCAGGGTGCCAGGTTGCCATGGAGCCGCCTCGCTCTCCCTGTCCTTCACTGGATGATTGGTCTAAATGAAAGCGAGAGAGAGAGAGAGAGAGAGAGAGAGAACGATGGAGTGAGGGAGAGGGAACAGAGGACTACCAGGACAGAGGAGGGCAGAGGAGAAAGTGAAAAGGGGCGTAGGTGATGAAAAAGAGAGACAGGGCGATTGGAAATGGAGGATTAGTGAGGCAGAGAGAAAGAGAGAGATGGCAGGAGGTGGCTATAGCGAGAGTGCGGAAAAGGAGAGATCATTAGGGAGACCCATTAATGCTGTCTTGGAGACTCGAGGCTTTTTTTTCCCTCCCAAACTTGACCTCGAACCTTCGTTTAAGTGAAAGTGTGGGGGAATGTGATTCAGAGGCAACAACACAAAGGTCTTTTTAAATTAAAATGTCAAGAAATACATTTTTCCCCCCTTAGTTTTGGACTGAAACTTGTTGTATTCAGCTGGCAGGGGATGAAAGCCGCATGCCCCCCCCCCCCCCCCCCGGTACCCCCTCACCCAGCCTTCCACTATGGCTTCTTTCTTCCTGCCTTAAGACAAGCTGCTTTCCTGGCAAGATTAATGGCATTAGCCAGTTTAATTTCACCCGAAAAAAACCCTAAACAAAACATGCATTTCTTCATTCCTCTTCTGTGACTCCAGGTCCTGTCTAACTGTCAGACGAGATGTGTTAATATTGCATGGTTGGCACCCTTTAGCGATTACTAGGCAACAATCCTGAGAAATGAATAGAAAATTACCAAGCGATTAATACAGTAATTAGGCCTGCCACTACCCCCACCCCGTCTACCTCTACCCTCGCAACCCCCAGCTCAACTAACTAACCCCTGTCTTGGCCTTCTGGCTCATTTGCTTATTTTCCAGTTTAAGAGGATGCTTTTAACGGCTTTAGTGCCTCTTTACGATCCCTGCCAGTGTCCTTGCGTGATCCCTGCTTCAGCTCGCAGCAGGGAATTGTGGGACTTTATCAGTTCATTCCACACACTTCAGTTCCCTCGATATCAGAAATAATCTCCGGATTTTCTCCAGATTCTGCTGAGGGGACTGTTTTTTTTCCAGTGGTTCTGAGGAGTTTCTGGGTAGGATTTAGGCTGCATGACCCGTCCATGCCCCCACCGTAACTACTCGTGTCGGATGCCGTTTTCTTATTAATAATAAAAAAAAAAAACACATGGATACAATCCCAGCAGTGCTGCAGGTCTTGCAGGGACACACACATAGCAACGGATGTGAAACAGGAAAACAAACGTATTTCATTGTTGTAATTCGATCTTGGCACAGTCCCGTCGCATAGACGAGAGAGAGAACAAGGGGATGTCTTTGAGCAGCTGTGTGCAAGATCGAAATATTTAGCTTGTCATGTGTATGTCTCCACTTTTGTTTTTGTCTCTAATTTGCACCTGTCACTGATATGGATGTTGCATCTTGCGTCTACGTAGTCTCTTTAGGATGGTTTTATGCTATTCAGTAGAGGAACTGAAAACAGGCACGGTTGACAGTGTGACGCGCTTTGCATTATCTGTGAAGGTTCTGACTGCTGCCCACACTCCTTTGGTCTGCATTTAGCGGAACATTCCTCTGTAATTAAGTCTAATTAGCTAGGTATGGTCTAAGTCAATGCCTCTCCTGTGGGGGGTGATGAGAGATGCTTCAGGACAATGCGGAATGTGTCTTCTGTAGTTTCCGAAGGTGTCTCCTCAGGTTCATGAATCATCACTTGCTTACCTCTCCTGAAGACCCTGGAACCCAACTGGCTGCACCTTCTTTTCCCCCCTGAATCATGGCTATCGGCTGATGTTTCTGCTATTGGCCACCTCCTTTGTTGCAGATGGAGGGTTCAGCTTCTGGCAAAGTGGCCCTGAGAGAGAGCATCTTCCCACCTCCGGACCAGCTGACCAGCTCCTCTTGCCAGATGCCTCCTATGCTGCCAGCCCTGACCTGTGATCTGTGGGCATCATCCAGCAGGTAAACCCCTATCCTTCTCTTTCATACATGTTTCGATAAGTTATAGGAATCCTTTTAAATGAAGGCCTACCATCCTCACTTGTTATGCCAGTGGCCGAATTAGCAATTTAAACCTGAAATGTACTGCTTAAAGTTCCACTCTTTAAACCACCTCGCCAGCTGCTGGACTGTTGGACCCTCAAGGGTTTGGCGGCCATTTTGGTATCTGTCTGTCTCCAACTCTGCCTTAATATATCGCTGGAATCTGTTTTCATTCTTAATATTCCCTTTTTACATACTGAGCAATTGACATTTGAGGATCAAACTGGCAAGAAAATTTTGAAACAAGCAGGAAGGTGCAAGAAATTATGCTATGAAAAAATAAACATGAATTAGGTCCCTGGGCTTGGATGTTGTTAAGTCAGCCTATTTTATGTTTGTTACACCCCTGCTTTATTCTTGTATGACAAAAAAGATCAGATGTGCATATTGACTACACAGCTGTTTTTCAATAAGGCAGAAAAAATGCACCTTTAATTTCACCTCAAAGCTCCATAAAAATCCTCATTTAGAAATATAATCATGACACTTGCATTTAATTAAGTGGCAGATTAAAACTCTTCTAACCTTAAGTATTGAGCTGTTTTTAAATGAAATCTGATGAAAAGCTTTTTCTATCTCTTTTATAAGCCTTTTACCATCTGAAAATGTCAGATGAAACCCTCGTTATGTTCGAGTTTCCGTATAAAAATATATCGTCTTTTTTTTTTTTTTTTTAGATTTAAAAATAATTGAAAAGGATGTGCTATGATTGGAGAATTTTCTCTCCTGTATGTTTCGATGTACCGCCACGTCGAGTCCTCCGTTATCCCCCCGTGCCCCCTTCTCCCTTGGGGTCCCACCCCACCTTCTCTGGCAGTGCACCCGCTGCCCCCCCTGGCCCTTATTTGTGCCTGGTCCAGCCAGGGCCCGAAAAGTTGTGGGAGAGGCCAGACAGCGGCGGCCGAGCTGTCTGAGGTGTGGATTAATGTTGGGGATTGGCGGAGGGGTGCCGCAGTCGCGCGTGAGCAGAATGCGGAAGAAAAAGAGAGTGAGCGTGCGGGGGAGAGAGAGAGAGCGAGAATGGGGAGAAAATAAAGGCACACGTTGCTGCTCGCTCTCACTCCCGGCTGGTTCTCTCCATCAAACGGACCACTCGCACTCACCGCGTTTGCTTGTGACATCCTCGGCGTCCATGTGTGCCGTGGGGCTATATGAGAATTTATTTTTCAGCAACCCCTTTGTGTCAATCACCTACCACAGGTTGACATTAAAATCAAGAGACAACATGCAACGCATATAATAAAACACACGCAGAAGTTGTGTCGTACGTTTTACTGGTGAACTGGTCAAAATGCCGATAAAATTCCTCTTATTTGAAGTTAGAGGTGCGCTCTGACAGGTGGCCACCATTGAACACAGGGGCGCGGTACTTACTGCCACCCAGTGACGGTCAGACGGCAGTCCAGCACCTAGGGCTGGTTGTTTAGGTGATGATGCCACGGTCTTGTCCTCCATGCCGGTTTTTCAGGGATCCGACCTCCATGCTTTTGGCAGTGCTTGGGCGGGCTGGAATTTCCCCGAACACAAAGACGAGCCAGTTTATGTTCCCGCACTTTTCAGCAGCTCCTCCTCTGCGTGGCATCAGGGAGGCGCCGGCGCACTCGCATCGCTAATCGGCAGTCTCCCCGTCTGCTTGCCGCATCTATGCTGCAGACATGCAAAGCAGACTGTTAGTATGAGAGTTACTAGATCAAACCACTATGTTCAGTCTGATTGGCTCCAAAATCCAGTATATCCAATATGGCAGCCGGCATAGCTATGTTTTCGTAGCTACTCAAATGATAGCTTAGCTATAACTTCAGCTAGTGCACGCGTTTGTGATGCAGGATTATCCTACAGCTAATATGACTGCTTATGTCAATTCCTTGCAGAGATATATTTATTTTAATTAATGTTAAAACAAATTTACTTTTCAGAATGACACAGCTGTGTATGCTTATCACATGGGTTTTGTCATGTGTAGTCCATAATACCTTGTAGACGTATTATAATGCATTAGCTGAGAGTTAAGTTGTGTTCGTTCTGTGCAAGCATGTCTGCATGTGTGCAAGAGAAAGTGAGAGAGTACAGAAAAGTGAGAGTGTCACAGTGGCGTTATGTTGAAAAGTGTAGTATTGCTGTAAAGCAAGAAAGATGGCAGAGTTCCAAGAACAATTTCTTGTTTTAGGCACCGACTTTAAAGCTCGACGTTTGTTTTTGCAGCGTTGGAAGACGTCCAGTAGGTGCATGCGAACGTGTTCTTGTCCGTGGTTTTGGGGGTAGGGGGCAGACCGGGGCACCGAGGATCTGCTTACCTGGCCTGGCTGGCATCGGTGGGGGCTGAGGAGGGACGGAGTTGGTGCGGCACGCCAAATCGCCCGTGCCAAAATCTCCGAGCCCTCCTTTATTTCGCTTTTGACGGAGGAGAGGCTACGGGAAGGCGAAGGGCGCGGGAGCCAGGGAGAGGCAGAGAGAGAGAGTGAAAACCAAGCCAATGTTTTTAAGACTCGATCTTGGCTTTCTTACAAACAGATGTTGGCTGTCATTTGGCTCTTAAGCAGGCACCCGCGTAGTAGAACACAGAGATTTCTTCAGGCTCCAACATAGTTTCTTTCATTCTCTATTTATTTATTTTCAGATTGACAAACTAAGTCCGAAAAGCACAGGAACCTGTTTTTTTTTGTTTGCCTTTTTCTTTTTTCTTTCTCTCTCTCCTACTCTCTCTCTCACTCTTCCTGATTGCGTTCTTTCTCTCCCGGTCTCCTTCTCTCTCCCTCTCTCTCTCCCTCTCTCTCTTTTTCTGTCTAACGCCTTCTTTGTTTTTACTCCTTTTGCATTTGGTTTTCCGTGGTCGCGTCGGTCGCGTGGTCGCGTTCCGTTTTTCTCGCGGGCCACAATGGAGCCAACGCGCCAGTCCCCCCCCTGCCAAGCACCGCGGGCACCGTAAGCGTAAAGAACCCATTTGGAAACAATGAGGAGACCATCGGTAAGTCATTATTAACATGCTTTAAAAGCTGCGATGTTTCTGTGTTGATTTTCTGATGTTTCCCGTTCCTGTCCCTGTCCCCCTGCCCCCTCGTCCCAAATTGCCAATTCAGTTCCATAAAAATAAAGGACCACATGGGATGATTTCTGCCAAAATGAGGAATTATGGTGCCTAGTTTTTCACCCCCTGTCCCTGTGGAAAAAAGGCCTAAGTGCTATATTCCAGAGCTGCTTTTCTGTTGACGTGTACCAAAGCCATAAAGGCAACAGGACAGTGCTCATCTATATTTATTGTGCCTCTGGTTGGATCCGGTCGCTTCGACCTTTGACCGCGGCTTGTGGGTAGCGGGTCTTCGATCCCGGTCATGCTTTGTATGCATGGTTCTGGGCCGATGGCGCATCTGTGGCCCATCTCTCTCTCCCCCCCCCGCTATTGTTTGAACCCCCCTGGCCACCCTGTCCACATTCCCAGCACCACAGATTCCAATTCCGCTACTTTGCCCTTCACTGGTCTGCCATGGTGCCACCCATGGGCAAAGCCCCATCCTGCCTCCCTTATTGTTCTAACCCTTTTTCCTAGGTATCCCGTTGTTCTTCTTTTAAAAAAAAAAAAACATTTTTTTTGGCCTCTTGGTGTGGCCTTTCAAACGCCGAGAGAAAAGAACTTGGCAACAGCTTGAAAGTCAAATCTGTTCATTTGAATTCAAGTGCGAGGACGGTCAATGTCGTTGATGGTCTCCTAGTGTCCACATAGACTATTCACTGTACCTCATTCTGCAGACTGACTCTGTAACAGCATTGGTCTTCCCTGTTAACCAGCATCTCACAGTTAAACATTTAAATCTCCATCCTAAAAAGCATTAAAACCTTTTTTTTTTTTTTTTGCTAAATTTTCTTGTGTTTGTCTTTTATTTTTAATAGATACCCATATTCTAAGTTGATCCACAGAAGGCCCGAGATATTGCAGTAAACTGTAAAACTTTCCAAAGTAAAGTTATTTAAAGACTTTTTAAAGAGGACTACAGTTTATATAATATTGCATTTCGTGTCTAATCTTTAGTGATCAGTGTTTTATCAGATTTGAAGTTTTAATCTTCTGCTAATGTCTATGAAATCTGGCGTTTTACAAAATTAAAAAAAGCATAATATAGTGTAAATTTTCTCTTCACTTTCCAAAAACCTTGCAGTTCTTCACAAATTCATTTCCACCCTTTAAAGACGCTGGAGTAGTTCACCGAGTAGTATTGTAGTATTGTAATATACACAATAGTATTTCATTGAGAGTATAAAGGTCTTTTGGGGAGACGGCTCCTGCCTGTACTCCCTGAATGGATCCTGGTATGATCACACATCTCAGGAAGGTACTCCTTTTTGTCTTTCTGGTGTGTTCACCACTGGTTTTACTGTACAGACTGCGAAGGTCTTTTTTCCCCCCATTCACCAAAAGCACATGGTTTCTGTGAGACCAAAGAAAAGCCAGGCCTGTAAGCGTACATTCCCAGCGTAGCCATGAATGCAGAAATAAATGTAAAAGGCCGAGCCCAGCGTAGCTACGTCGGGCTTTTCTTTATTTGTTGTTTGCTTCTGTACCCCTGCGGAATGACGGTGTCACAGGGACACATTTTCAACTTGCTGCACATTAAAAATTAAAAGTTTTTAACCATTTTTATAAAAGAGAATTCTCTATCTTTATCAAAATTCAGATTTTATTTTTTTTATTTCATATCATATCAACCCGTCATACATTCTCTATTATAATAGTCTCTTCAGAATGAAACTTCAAACAGAGCATGATCTTATAATTATGCTTTTTATGAAAATAGCTGTTTTTTTGTTTTGGTGTCATCAATTTTCTTTAGATAACTATGCATATATCTATAAACACACATCTCTTCACCAGCACTAGATACGGTCTTCAGTTCTTAAGTTACTTAATTAAAATGTCGTTTTTTTGTGTACAGAAAGGTTTATTAATTTCAGTAGGTTATGGCAGCAACTTGGGGGCGTTTTGCTTTGAAACCAGCACTGTGAGGAAAAATGGGAACGTTCTTAAATTCTAAATGACAATGACTTAATTGATCTCAGGATAAGATGTATGTGCACCTGTGTCTGATATAATTGGCTCAGAATCTAATATATGAAAATGGAGATTCTGTGACATTGTCCCTTGATCCTGAAGTGTACAAAATATAGGGATGAAGCATTTGGCAGCTGGATGATTCCTTCCTGTATTGCTTTTAATTTTAAAATTAAAGACTGCAGTTAACCTAGTGATTAAGTGTGTGGACTGGGGGCCTTAAAGGCACCCATCTGTCACAGGTGGGTGCTGATGTTGTATCTGTGATGAAGGTGCTCAAATTCCAGTTACAGCATTTGGTTGTGAGATATATTGATTAAAACTAAGCTGCGTGCTTCATTTTGCATTTAAGCACCTGCAAAATGACACATGCTACTGAAATTAATAATAGAGGAAAACGCAGAATTGATATGTATTAAATTTTTATGTTGAGGTTCAGTTTATATAAAATAAATGTATAAAAACTAATAGCTTGATATTTAGCTTTTCCAAAAACCCCTATCAGTGTCTTTAGCCTTTAGTGTAATTTTAAGTGTCAGCTATATGCGGAACATACTACACGCTACAATTGAAAATATGGCTAATTTCTAAAAAGAGAGCGAAAATATGGAAATATAGCCAATTTGTGTTTTCTATTAAAAAAACAATTGGGGTCCACCTCTGGTGTAACTTGTTAAGTCAGCCATTAAAACACCGATTGTCTCCTTTTTTAAAATGGTGGCCTGTGACCTCGGTGAGTGAGAGGACATTTTGGTGCAGCATGTGACACTCACGCATACGTCAGCATGCCAAATTGACTTTGTCTCGTACCTTCTTTCCAGTTTGTTTTGCACTTAACCTGCCAACGCAGTTCATCAGTCAACATTCAGCTTGATTCGATTTAATATTTTGCCCCTCGTAATCATGTTATATCAAACACTTTATGGCTTTAATATATTAAAAAGTAATTTCAGCTAAATAGCTAAACCGATAAATCATAGGATTATAACCATATTTGTACAATGTGTGAAATCTGTTTAGTTCATGTTTATTTCCCAAAAGTAAATACAGAGTTGCCGCAAACTGAATGTACTGAACATCCTGAACGTGCACTGTAAATAACATTACATTTCTTCTAACAGAGAGACCTATTTGGTAGCAATGCAAAGCTACTCTGACCCTTTATAGAGTCTCGACTTTCAGGAGAATGTTAACTGACAGACGCCTCTGAATATTTCCTGTTAAGATAAGTTTAAGACTATAAAACCTATAAATAAAGAAAATGCATCACAAACCCTTGTGCTCCATGGGGGGGGGGGGCGCGACTTGGATGTGCCCTTCACCCCCCCTCCCCCCCCCACCCCTTTAAGTGGGGTAGATGTTATTTCGGCCACAGGTGAAGGGTTCGGTGACGGGGGCCGGGTAGATTTGGCAGGACACCGGGCTCTGCTTCCCTCGGGGCGGCCAGCGAAGCCAGTGCAGCTGGGGACACGGGTGGGTGTGGGGGCCGCGGAAGTTTGGCCGGCGACGAACCGGGCCGCCCCCTTATGGCGCTGGCACGGCTGGTAAAGCCCTGCCCAGACCCGCTAGCTGCAGCGGTGCCGGCCCAGACGGACGAGCTCCGAGCAGAGAGGCAGCAGGGCCACACCTATTGTTTTAATCCGGAAGAATTAAAGAAGAGGAGGGACACCAGCAACGGGGTGGGGGGGCCGTGAGTAAAGGAGGCGTGGAGAGCTTGCTCCGGCCAGCCAGGTGAGACAGGGTCCGGGCAAGAAGCATCCTCATCCTCTTAACATCAGCTCACAGCCATTTTGAAAAGGGGGGGGGGGGTAGCCGTTCTCGATTTCTACGTGGCACGGGCTGGTCCGAGACTTCGGTAAAATGCGGGAGAGCGCTGAGCTGAGAGGAAACACTCCGGTAGTGCAGTCTGGAGATGGCATGTTTGGGAAAAAAAAGCCAAAACCTGCCGCCGATACTCTCCTCTCAGTCGCCCATTTCCGTTTGCAACCTTTTTTAACGTCAAGTTTTCTTTTCCTCCTTTTTTAGTCCTCTGCTTTTTCGCAGTCTCATTCTTTTTTATCCCTGTGTTACAATGTATTTATTTTTTAATTGCGCCTCCGTCTGTTAGTGTCCGTATGAAGCAGCTCTGCCTTTTCTCTCTCCCCCTCCCACTGCCTGCCCGTTTTCTTTTTTATTATTATTATTATTATTATTATTATTATTTTAGTTTGGTTCACGGTAGTTCAAGACAAAAGGAAACAGCATCTGAATTTTGGCACCGCGATGGAAAGTCAGATCCGTGGCCAAGGATCCTGCAGGGATCCAAAAAATGAAACTGAACGAAATGCCAAAAAAATGAGACAAAAAAAACCCACCCTTTCCTCTGCATGGTCACAAATTCCACTTTTTCTGCGGCAAGTCCAGAAAGTCCGCCGAGGCCGTGTGTCGCCTTAACTCTACCTTCTGTCTCTTTTTTCCCCCTTTATTTCCTTTCCTTTTCTTAGATCTAAATCCGTTGCATTTTTCGGGTTTTGTCCTCCCTGGGACTTGAAGAAGAGACGTCTGCACGCCAGAGAGAGAGCGACTGTGCTTTGGGGGCAGTCTGCCGGTTGCGTGGTGTTTTTGTGCTTGTTAAAAACGCTGCTGTCATTATTAGACTGTCCTCGTTTTGTGGGAACTGGCCTCGGTACCGAAGAGCTCGAGCCGATCGAATAGGTCGTGGTTCTATTTTTTTTTTTGGTATTTGTCTGTGTGTGTAGGTGTGTGTGAGTGTATGTAGATTAAAAAGGACTACATGACCGCTCGTTTCTCTGTGTTTTTAAGTGTCCGTTTCTATTTAATTTATTTTTGCTCTGTTATCTCATGCCGTCCCAGTGTCTGTCTCCTTTTTTCGTTGCAGGTTTTTAATACGTCGATCCTTTGGCCCTACTCAGACCCCCAGTCAGACTCTATTTTGATGTGACGCGAATTCCGGCCGGTCCCGTGAAACTCCAAAGTGCGCCAACGGGACATCGGACACAGTATGACACTTTTCTCATGTGATACCTCTTCTGGTCAGTTCTCCCAGTGAGCTTGTGAAATGTCGTTTTAGGGGTTCAACTCGGCGGTTTGTCTCTCTCCTGATAGGTCAGTCCGTGCCACAAATGTGCAGAAAGTGCAGTTATAAAAAGCTGATGAGCAAATACAGCTCAGTAAACGTCCAGCAAGTTGTACATTTGGAGGTTCTGCTCTGAAAGCCATTAGTCTTTATAAGATATTTCTGTTTTAACTCGTTAAAAATGAATAATTCACAAACACTGGAAAAGATTAATATTATTGTTAATGAAATGTCAAATATTCAATTAAGCAAATGGTCAGTTGTGTGGCCTCATTGTTTGAATTGTTTTTGCTCAGTCGTGTTGTTTTCAAAGTCTTTAGCGTAAAGGGTTTCTGTTTCAGCAAATTAAATTTAATGTCGGTCTGTAAAGCTAAAATGCCAGTTTCACTGCACCGGACCAGAAAACTGGCCTGTCTGATATTCTTTTCGGTAAATAATATTTATAACTATGGGCATTAAATAACTAAACTAACAACTAAATTTAAATTTAAATCTTGAAATATTTCATAGTCATTACATATATATTTCATTCTATGTATTGTATTCTGTCATATGTGACTTTTTCTGCAACTAAATATTTTGTATTTTAATCACTTTTTTTCATAGTTGAAAGCTTACTTTTAGCATTTTACATTAGATGCTAAAATATCCATGATTCCAGTATGATATAACAAATGCATCAGAAATTGCTATTGTAAATGAATTAATGAAAATATGTAACATTATTTGTTTTCATTGAGCCCTTCATGTGCTTTTTTTTTAAAACTTTATTTCAAAGTTAGATAAGATAAGGTAACACTTGTTTGATTCCATGGGGAAATTCTTCAAGCCTGTTTGTTTACCATTATTACAAGTTTGCAGTAGCCGTTAAAGGTGTTTTTAATTATCAGATTTATTGACAATTGGGGAAAAAAAATGTTTAAGTGCAAGGGGATAAAGGCTGATCCGGATATCGACCTGTGCAGAATTTATCTTTGCAAAAACTGTTTATCTTAACACTGGATGGGCAGCAATTTAAATGTGATTGTATTTCGTGTTCAGTAGCTGTAGTGGTGAGATATTCACTCTCCTCGTGGCCCTCTGTCCCTCTGAGTTAAAGTAACTTAACAGTAGTTATTGATTTGGAATATGAGTGCACATTGCAACGTCGCAGATGTTAAGGCAGTTGATTTCCTGCAGCCTCACTGTTTTTACGAGCTAACCCCAACCCATGTGAACCTCATCTCCTGGTCGCAAGTGGTTATGATCCAGACCTTGTAATAATTTAATCCAACCTTTTGAATTTATGAATCATCATCAGAAACACTGACACCCCTAATTCCGGGTGTGCACTAACATGTCTTGAGTAGCTGAGTCACATATTGCGGCGCACAAACCGTATGCACGTCAAACAAAGAACGAAAGATCTCAGGCGTGCTGGGAAAGTATTACTCAGATTTTGGAGTGTGGGGGAAATATTTTGTGCTTGGAAGAGAGAATAGTTTCACATGTATGATTTATTGCTTGTATGCCAATGAGGACTGTTGCAGGCCACAAATATTTGTTATTAATGTACATCACTGATACTTGAATGAACATGGTACATTATTGCATTTCATCTTGCGTATTTACCCAGGTTTCTCATTCCTGCTGCACCTGTAGGCGATGCGAGGGAATGGCTTTGCGGGAACAAGTGTGTATTTGCATAAATATCTCTGATCAAGTGAGCCGAATCATATATTGGCTTGGTCCAACTGAATAGTCTCTTATAGTAAAATTTGTTAACTTTTCAGTTCTGAATTGGAATCAGACCAGAAAAGTCATCCAGTGAAGTGTTCAAATATTTTGAAATCTTTAAACAAAAGATGTGACACTCAGCAAATTTCTAGCAGTATTAACTGCTGTTTATGTAATTTATTGATGCGTGGAACGGTTTAAAAACATGCTGAGCTTCTGGGCCGATATATAACTGATTAGCTGTTGACACCTGTAGGAAATAATAGTTTTTTTCCCCCAGTCTGTGATGGTGCACATCTGGGAGCGAGTGAGTGGTCATGTGATGCAAAATGGTTCTTCTTTATACTTAAGATGCTTTAGAATATATATTGTCTTACAATAAGGTCATTAAAACTCTTGGGAACCGTTATCCCCGTCTTCACCTTGGGCATTACAGACACAGGGACAAAGCTATTTTTAGGTAAATGCCCTGCTGGGTCTGTGATCCAACTTATACATGAACTGTATGTTTGTTGACATTTTAATTAGCGAACAGCATGACGAGTTTCACACTCACATACTCCATTTACTTCATTTTTGGGGCCTTTTTTTTTTGGAATTACTGAATGGATTTAACTTCTTCCTTTTCTGTGTATCGTGAAGTTAAATCTCTTATTTTGCCTTATTTTAAAAGAACACCTGACATTATAGGCCAGACAGTTGCATTACTTGAAATTACTTGAATACATTACTTGAATTTTGACCTACGAATCTGACCAATGACATAATGAAAATTATAGGACAGATGCTGCACGTGTAATCTGCAAGGTTTTCTACCACCAAAAAAAATTTAATGGAAAAATACCTTAGATTGAAGAACAGCTGCAGAATGAGTGGGTGCCCCATATTAAAATGGAAAATACCCAGAACAGAATCAGCCCAGAATTTCGTTCTGCTTTTATCTATTTTTCACCAACAAGACATAAAATACATTATTCAGCATTTTATTTGGCAACATTTTTTTCAGAGCAAGAATTCTGAATTCAGTTTTTCTTATGGAACTTAGAGAATACTAATAATAATTATCATCATTATAATATTTAGAAGATTTTGTATTTCTCTTTGCGTGCTGCTTAAAAGAAAATGCAAAATACTGCATTAGCTATATTCTGAGGAATCAGATCATTAAACATTTAAATTTGCCGCCCTCTTTAATTATACACACACACACACACACACACACACATATATATATATATATATATATGTCTTTGTCTTCATATTTACATTAAATACACCCTGTTATTGGATGAAAAATGAGCCATTGAACAAAAGCACCTTTGAAACATAAAGTTTGAAGTTGTTAATGGATGAATCTGGTTAATTTCCATTGGGAACATTATTGCATCGTTGCACTTCATGATTTTTTTTTTTTCGTATGGTTTCTTGTAAATAAGCACTTGAGATTTTTGTAAGTATATATTTGTATTTAAAAAAAAGACACATTCACTACTTTAATTCTACGTGTATTTTGGACAAAATAGAAAAGGTATGTTTTTTTTTCCAATGTAAACTCTCCTTGAGAATAATGTCTGATTTTTATTAATATCGCGAGTGCAGGAGAGCAGTGGGATTTTGGTTCAGATTGTACTTCAGTTCCCTAGTTATGACATATACAAAAATTCTTGGAGGTCACATGCAGACCTCAGGCTGTGGACATGGGAGATGTTATTCCGGGACTTGCTAGTCGTTGGCAGAATTCACTTCCTGCTGTGAAATCAATGATTTCACATCAGCATAGTTTGAGTTTCCCCCTTATCAAAATTTTTGAAAGGCTGATGCATCCAAAAAATAATTTTGCAGCTGTTGTTTTTTATTTGCATGATGGTGTGCCGTTTGTCCTGAGAGGAGTACGGCACGATGGAGCCAATCATTCAGCAAAGAGCCGATAACTTCCTTTTGTTGGGGAATTTTGAATCCAGTTACGGTACAGACAGTGCGTGCAGTGTATGTGAACAATGCCAGGAAAGAGCTGGATTTGTCATCATTATTGGGCAAACAAGATAAAACAAAACCTAAATACGAATAAAATAAACCTGGCATTTGTCGTAGAGAGTCAATGTGGAGTCGGTGAATTAAAAAATTAGTTGAAATGCTGCTGCTTTTTTACTGTGGTGTCACATGTGTTATGTGAACCAGGCCTCTGTTCCTCTGGTCCCATGCATGGTAGCTGAGTGTTTCTCAGTTGGCCCACTGCGTCGAGGCCGTCGACACCAACAACAGCCACTGAGCCAGAGAACAGCAACTGAAATTCTCCTCCACTCACCGCCACCCACTTTACAGTGTCCAAGATCAATGGTACACTCCCAAGAAAATGTCGCGTGTGACCCGAACACCTACAGTACTCCTTGGCGTCCTCTTGAGAGGAAATGGAAGTGAAATTGCGAAGATGTTCTCTGATGTGAGTTTCAACAGCCTGTGCTATAAAGGCAGGGATTCAAATTTGAAACTAAACAATTCTCAGATTTGGAGAAGTAGTCCTGTACAGTCTGGTCACATCCATCCTATCCATCTACCTATCCATCTATCTGTTTTCTATGCCCACTGGTCCAATGCAGGGTGTTGGGGGTCCGGAGTCTATCCAGGAACATACGGGCACAAGGCAGGGAATAACTCAGGACATGGGCACCTACCCTTCGCAGGGCACACTCACCATTCACACACCTACATCCCACTTTCAGTAACCCTACATCTATAAAACAAAGGGACCTCATTACCCGTAAGCAGTCACTTGTAATCTTATTTGTTTTCAGCCCTGATTCAATGTGCCCAGAACATACATTAGTGTCAAATTAGCGAAACACCACATTGATTTCAATTAATGTATTTATTGAGAGGTGCAGAAGGGGTAAAGTAGGTGTCCATTAGTTACAGAAAGCTTATCCGGTGGTGCAGATAGTTGGTATTGCATGTTGGTCAGACGTGGGCAGAACCTCGATAAAATTCAGTTTTTCCTACCCCAGAAGCAATCCTATGCAATGGGTTCGATTTTTATCTTTTGCTTATAAAATATCAATGCAGAGCAGAATCAGAAAGGATTATATAGTACCATCCATTCCTGAAATTTTAAAATGATCAGCTGAACTATCTCCCTCCAAAAAAAAAAAAAAGAATCTCATAGCACTTCTGGTAACCTGCTTTCTTCGTGAATAGTGCTTTACGTCTCCTGCCGTAATAGTGCTTTACATCTCCTGCCGTCATCGAGATTTGTATGAATATGTTATTTCTTGACAAAACAAAAAAGATTTTGATAGGTTGTTAGTATCAAGAATTAAGCAAAAGCTTGTAATGGCTAAATCTGTCTCAGTAACACAATATCATGGGTTGAGTCTTGAATTAGCGTCCCGTTTTACGACCACAGACCCGAGAGCGTCTGCGGGGAGCCTCAGCAGCCGCGTGCTTTTTTCCGTACCCCCCAAGAAGAACTCTGCCTGTCGCCACAAACCCGTAGATCCGAACTTGTGGTGACTGAGCTCACAAGCTCGCATCTATAGGCCTGTGGGGCCAGAGCCCCCGCACCCAGCCACGCTCATCCTTAACTAACCCTCCCGCCCAGGGTCAGTTACTTAGACAAATGGGGGACGAGGAGCTTAACTCTCAGGAAGATGTGAAACGCAAACATGGTGGGTTGGGCCCATAGAGTCCTCCTGTGAGAAGAGAGAGCCGCGACCTCACTCTGAGGTTCCGCTCACTCTGAGGTTCCGCTCACTCTGAGGTTCCGCTCACTCTGAGGTTCCCCTCACACCGAGTCTGCGGACTGTCCAACTGCGTGTACTCAGGCTGAGGTAGTAGGTTGTATAGTTTAGCATTACACCCCGGGAGATGACTGTACAGCCTCCTAGCTTTCCCTGGGTCATGCCCAGCACTGGCCACGGCGGCATACGTCAGACATGGCAGGAAACTAGCCTGTCTTCCCTTTACCCCGTATAACCCTGTCTTCACAGGGCCTGGCTTTGTGGCCCGGCCAAAG